TCTATCCCCATTATTGTTTATATTAACACTAGAGGTTCTAGCTAACAGAATCAGAAATAATGAAAACATTAAGGGTGTTATAGCAAAACAGAAAGAAATGAAAATATCCCTTTATGCCGATGATACTATTCTTTTTTTGAAATCATCAATATCAATAACAAATGCAATGTCAGAAATTGATATATATAGTGCAGTATCAAATTATAAATTAAATAAAACAAAATCAACTGCCATATATATATGAATATGACAAAGCAAGAAATAGATTCTTATCAAGAAACATACGGTTTTATTAAAGCTAAAATGTTTTTGTACTTGGGAATCAAAATTTGTAGAAGGGTAGAAAGTATCATGAGAATAAATTTTATGGATCTCCTTAAAGAGACTAATAAGAATTTGAAAGAATGGAGAAAATTAGAAGTATCTTGGGGAGGAAGAATAAACATTCTGAAATCATATGTTCTACCAAAATGGATTTATTTGTTCAGAATGCTTCCGTTAGAAATCCCGAATGCATGGCTGACAATGATCAATAAGGCTTTTTCTGATTTTGTATGGCGAGGAAAAAAACCTAGAGTTAAAAATGGAGTTTTAGCAAGAGGAATAAAGAAGGGAGGTCTAGGATTTCCAAATATAAGAAAATATTATGAAGCAGGAATTATTACGCATGTTATGGCTAGTCAAGTGATACAAAACAAAGAGGAAGTATGGTGGTGGTTGGAACTAGATTATAGCCAATTAAGAAGTAATTTAGAAGTAGTCTGGGGTACAAAAAAATGTAATCTATCCAGATCGTATATTTTAGGACAGATTATTCCTATTTGGCAAAAAATAAGGAAAAAAATAGGTTTGGTAGATAAGATATTTGGCTTTCAAAATTTAGAAATAATAGAATTAAATATGGAGAGTATATCCTTAAAATTATGGAAAGAAAAAGGAATAAATATTTTGGAGGATCTATTTAAAGGAAATAAAATTAAATCTTATAAAAAGTTAGTTGAGGAATTTAAGTTCTCTGACAAAGATATTTTTACTTATTATAGAGTAAAACATTACTTGGAGAAAGTTGAGTTAGTAAAAGAAGGTAAGATGTATGATATTTTAAAAACAATCTTACATCAGAATAAGACAAAGCAATTGTTTTCTAGATGTGTTAGATTGTTGGATTTAATGGAAGATTCTGTTCTGCCCACTGCCATTAAAAAATGGAACACTGAATTAAAAACAAATATTGAACTATTTGAATGGCTATTTATGGCACAAAAAATTAACAAATATGTCCACTCCTTTGTATTGATAGAAACACATTTTAAGTTGGTTAATCAATGGTATATGACGCCAACAAAAATAGCTAAATTTGATGTATCAAGGGACATTAAATGTTGGAAATGCAGGGAGGAAAAGGGAAATTATATCCATATGTGGTGGTCATGTAAACAAGTGATTGTTATATGGCGGTGGGCTCAAATTATCATTCATACACTGTGTGATGTTAAAATGCCTTTAAAACCTGAAGTAATGTTATTACATTATAAATGGCCAAAATTGAATAAAATAAATCAATTTTTAATTATTCATTGTCTAATGGCTTGTAAAATAATAATAGCAAGAAATTGGAAGGGAGATATCCCTTTTAACATTAAATTAATAACAATTCAGTTGGTTTACCAACTTAAAATGGAGAAAGATCATTGCAAACTTTTGAAGGATGATTTGAGCCTATGGGAAAAATGGGAGAAAAAATTATTACAACTGTAAAAGGAATGTCATTTGAAAAAGTTGGAAAAAGTTGGAAGTCTGTAGAACTCTCGTGGGGTGGTGGATAGTTTTTTTTGTTTTTTTTTTGGTTTTTTTCTTTTTTGTTTTTTCTTTTTTTATTTGTTTTTATGTGGATGAATGTATTTTAATTACTCTTTTGTAAATGTATTTATGGTGGAAAATCTGATAATAAAAAGATAATAATAAAAAAAAAAAAAATGAATCTTTATGAGATGTTACCTGGCTTTCTGCTGCTCGATTTCCTGTAATTTATTTGTTGTGAAGCCCAGGTTACTTTGACAGGAGGTTGAGGTGACTTGAAGTTTGCGTTGCCCTTCCATTGACAGACTGAGCCGTTCTTCCATTATTTTCATCTGTTCTTGGCTTTTATTCAGCAGATTTTTAGTTTGCTGCAGCTCCTCCTGGGTTGTTCTTAGAATGTCTTCCATCACCTGGGTGGCTTTGTCTTTCAAGGCAATGTTTTTGGTTAGAGTGGAATTCAAGGCTTGATGGACCTCTTTCAGCTCATTGAAGTGGGAAACTGTATAATCACGGTGCTGGGATACTGACGACACTGGCAGACAAGCATGATGTCAAAAATGGTGAGATTTAGCATATGGCGAGAGATACTGGCTGTAAAAGCAGTAACATTGCTCAAATAAATTCTTCCTTTCAAATACTCATATACCCCAGCATCGCCCCCATTAATACTCACATACCCAGCCATGTATCCTGTTATTAGTCACATCCCCCAGCTATACCCACATTAATACTCACATACTCCAGTCATGTATCATGTTAATAATCACATACTCAGCCATGTCGCCTGTTAAAACTGACATACCCCCATAATGTGCCCTGTTAATACTATATATACCCTAGCCATACCGCCGTTAATACTCACATACTCCAGCAATGTATTACATTAATACTCACATACTTCAGCTATATTCCCCATTAATACTCAGATACCCCAGCCATGTACCATGTTAATAATCACATACTCCAGCAATGTATTACATTAATACTCACATACTCCAGCTCAGGGACGTATTAGCCGCGAGGCAAACAAGGCATTTGCCTTGGGCGGCATTTTTCAGGGGGCGGCAAAAAACGCCGCCCCCCAAATGCCCAGGGTAAATGCCTAGTTAGCCTTGCGGCTAACTGACATCCCAGGCGGTCGGGCGGGCGGGCGGGCGGGCGGGCTGGCGAGGAGCACTTCCTATGAGCTGTCTGCTCAGCTCCCTCGTACGCCGCACAGTGAGGCTGGGAGCCGGAAGATGACGTCATCTTCCGGCTCCCAGCCTCACTCTGCAGCCGGCGCGCGAGGGAGCTGAGCAGACAGCTCATAGGAAGTGCTCCCTCGCCAGCCGCCTGCCTGCCAGCGCCGCCCGCCTGACCGGCAGCCACTGGACCACCAGGGAGAGAGAGACCTCCCCCCCCCCAGCACTCCCAAAGGTAAGGAGGTTGGGGGGGGGATTTAAATAAAAAAAAAAAGTTAATCTGTGTGTGTGTCTGACTGTGTGTGACTGACTGTGTTTGTGTATGTGTGTGTGTGTGTCTGACTGTGTCTGTGTATGTGTCTGACTGTCTGTGTATGTGTCTGACTGTGTGTGTTTGTGTCTGACTGTGTGTGTGTTTGTGTCTGTGCGTCTGTGTGAGTGTGTGTGTGTGTGTGTCTGACTGAGTGTGTGTGTGTCTGACTGTGTGTGTGTCTGACTGAGTGTGTGTGTGTGTGTCTGACTGAGTGTGTGTGTGTGTATGTGTCTGTCTGTGTATGTGTGTGTGTCTGACTGTGTGTGTGTCTGACTGTGTGTGTGTTTGTGTCTGTGTGTGTGTGTGAGTGTGTGTGTATGTGTCTGACTGTGTGTGTGTGTGTATGTGTCTGACTGTGTGTGTATGTGTCTGACTGTGTGTGTGTGTGTATGTGTATTTAGAAGGTGGGGCGGGGGGAAGGGTTGGGTGGGGGTGGCACGGGGGGAGGGGGGTGCCTGAGTTTTGTCCTGCCTAGGGCAGCACAAAACCAGGATACACCACTGCTCCAGCTATATTCCCCATTAATACTCAGATACCCCAGCCATGTACCATGTTAATACTCACATACCCAGCCATGTATCCCATTAATACTCACATACTCCAACCATGTACCCCATTAATACTCACGGTGTGTGGAGATTCCAATTATAATAACAAGCAGCAGGAGGCAAAATCCCAGTAAAAACACAGTAAGATATTGGGAGTGAATGGACAGAAAACCTAAAAAGAAATGAGGATAAGTCCCCAGAGAGTAATGTACAAAGCGTTGTATTGAGATAATTCCTGGTCATTATGTAACATGTTAGGCAGGTTCTACACCCAGAGTGTCTCAGTCCTTGTGGTCCTGTCTCTAGAATTAGAATGTTTCCTTTCCTGTATTGTCTGTCTGATAATAACCAGTGACCCTACTTGACACATTGTAGGAGAATCTTGCAATACTTTTATTGGAGACGTGTTTAATGTAAGAACCAGCCCCTACTTTGTCTCAGTATGTCTCTTCACTGGGTTGGAATACTAGTGACATTCTAACAGTCAATGATTTGTGAAAGACTCCTTTTCGATACAGAGCTGACAGCCACATTAGCCCTGAGACTTAAAACATTGCCATTCTGTCTACATTACAGGGTAAACATGGAGTCTTCCTAACAGCCACTAGAGATGCTTCCGCTCAAATAGCCGCATTAAATGTGACTTTTCAATCGGATTGTTTTGGTTGACGCACTCCCTACAATCGGATTGTTTTGGTTGACGCACTCCCTACACTGATAATAGCAGCCAAAGGAGCGGTGGAGACTGGCGCAATGAGTTATACTCACCTTTCAAGCCCTCACTGACGGGGGGGAGGAGGGGAGGGCGCATGTGTGTGAATTGCTAGCTATATTGTGTTCCTTTTAGCAAAGAGGGTGATCTTTTGGCCTTTCATTTAACCCTTTGCTAATATATTTCATATTTGCTCAGTGATTACCTAAGTGGTGTGAATACCCTTCATTTTCAATTTGGAATTGATTAATTCTGTAGATAATTTGTTTAAATAATATTAAAAACTGCAAAACCTAGGTGAAAAATACCATGCTCTAACACTGCAAAATGTTTAATTATAAAAAAATAATAATGTTTTAGGCCAAAAGTTCTAAAATACATAAAAGCGGTGTTGGTGTGTGAGTGTACCTTGAGTAACTAAAGTGTCTGAGTGTCTAAAACCCTTTTCAAGGGGTTCTAGATCTATTGACTCCAGGGAAATAACTCCAGCCAGCTGAGGCCACCACTGGGACATGGCCCAGATTGCTGCCACATGATCTGCCCTGAGGGGGGCTGGCACAGATTGCTGCCACATGATCTGCCCTGAGGGGGGCTGGCACAGATTGCTGCCACATGATCTGCCCTGATGGAGGCTGGCACAGATTGCTGCAACATGATCTGCCCTGAGGGGGGCTGGCACAGATTGCTGCCACATGATCTGCCCTGAGGGAGGCTGGCACAGATTGCTGCCACATGATCTGCCCTGAGGGGGGCTGGCACAGATTGCTGCCACATAATCTGCCCTGAGGGAGGCTGGCACAGATTGCTGCAACATGATCTGCCCTGAGGGGGGGTGGCACAGATTGCTGCCACATGATCAGCCCTGTGGGGGGGGCTGGCACTGATTGCCACATGATCTGCCCTGTGGGGGGGCTGGCACAGACAATCACGCGAGGCTTGCACACCTCATATTGTGGCTGTTGTAGTCCTGATTCCATACCTTCCAATGTTCTAACACTGTAAAGGTATTTAAACTCAACCATTGAAGCATTTTTGCTGCTTTTTAATTATTTATTTACCCTGGGTCCAACCCTAGCATGAGGAATTAAATTATTGTTTTTGTTTTTTTTCCCAATTTCCCATAGATTTCTCTGATCTGAGGCTCCAGGTCTGCACAAGTGCAATGGAAAAGCTTTTTGTGTTTGATGGCAGTGGCTGATCCGATTATCCAAGATTTGCTGAGATCACATGGTTGCAGTCACCGGGATCTGAATGACTTGTAAGCAGAATGAAAGACAGAAAATAACCAAATGGTAACAAGTACAATAATTAAGTACAGTATTAGTGTTTGGAATCCTTTCTCTCATGTTCTGTTACGGTTACCTCCAAGCTAGCTGAAGCCCGGACTGCTTGGATGTCCTGGTTCCCGAGTGTGGAGAGAGAGAAGCGCCGTTCCGTTCAGCATACCACAAGAATCCTGCGAATATAAAGCAATCCCACTAGCTATAGTACAGCTAGGATACCCTTGTTCCCACAAAACGAGTTGAGGCTGCAATTTGAGGGTCAAAACGAACTGAGTTTAATGGCACACAGGCATCGCTATTTATGCAAAACCCCAGGTCCAGGGAAAGCCCACTCTGGACCTGATGGGATACAGGGGCAATACAAACAGTTGACCAATGGCATTACAGTGTATCATTTGAACTGGTCACCGCACAGCTTGGAGATAATGACTAACGGTTATGGCAATTTAATTATCTCCAAGCGCCCAAAATCCCACGTTTTATTGTAACATAAAACAGTATAAAAATATATAACTAACATTTTAATAGACATATCTTGCATTCCACCATTCGTTAGCCCAGATCTGAGCGCAGCAGATAGGCGAATAGCCCTCAGATCTCACGAATGGTATAGCCAGTCTCTTCAATACAAATTCCTTTTGTGCCTTTTTGTCCCGAACACGAGATGGCGGCCATGTTTTCAGGTTGGTGAATAGGGAGCGGGACCTGGACCTAAAACCCATGGAGCAAGTAGCGGCTGAACAATTGCGCGAACACGGCTCAGAGGATGGTTGTCCCAGTCCTTCGTGAGCCGAACAGTGACCGCCATGAAGATGGGTACTTAACGTGCGGTTAACCGCAGACCCAACGTTCTAATTGGGGCCACACGCCAGGATGTAGGTGGTCTTCGTTCGGGAGTCTTTTGTTAGTTTCATTTCAGTGAGGCCACCCTGAGACAGTCAATTAGGCTTGTGGTTAACCGCAGACCGCAGTTTCCCCGTGGTCAATTAGAAGCACACTCCCGCTCATAGGGTGGTCGGTCGTTCGGTTGTTTTAAAGGTGAAAAAGGTTAAGTGGTGGCACACGCCAAGGGCCAGGTGGTCCGCGGTTCGTATGCAGGAATACATAGTCCTGACTGTTCGTGGAATGAATTTTATACAATAGAACTACCGAAACAGGGTAGAAGGTAAAATAAACAGGGTAATCCCGCAACGATGTGTAGAGCGCCCGTAACATTCTCTAAAATGAATATTACAATAATTGTATGGCAAGACAGGAGGCTTCTTATTTGCTTTACCTTCTTTACCGAAACCTTCAGCAGCAAAGCAATGGCCGCATCACTAATGGGTAGTACCCAAGCTGAAAACCTTAAAAGGAAGGGAAGACAAATTGAATAGACACAGACTCATATTGCTGCAAACTATATCTAATTTGTATTATGCATGTTAACTGCAGATAAGACTCCTCTTCAAAAGGAAGTAGATTTAGAGTGAAGGGCCAGTTTGTAGTGCTTAATAAAAGATTGTAGGAGTGGACCAAGTAGCTGCACTGCAGATGTCATCCGGAGAAACCTCTGCCCAATTAGCCCAAGATGTAGCCAGGGATCTGGTAGAGTGAGCTCTAATCTTGGCCAGAGGAGTCAGCTTGTTCTGAAGGCAGGAGTCTGTTATGACAGAAGCTATCCATCTCCTTAAGGTAGAAGAAGAGGCTGTTTCACCCTTACGAAGGCCAGAAGGAAGGTCAAATTAATTTTTAGTTTTTTTTTCTGAAGTCAGAAGTAACAGATTGTTACTTAATGAGAAGTTCTCTCACATGGAGTTAATGGAGTCGCTCTCCCCCGGGAGAAGACAGAAGTACAGAAGGAAGGGAGAACAACTTCCTGGAGAAGATGAGATCTAGAAATGACTTTAGGAAGGAAGTCTTCACTAGGTCTTGGGGTCACTTGAGCATGAAAAATATGAGTGTGTGACTCTTCACTAGAGAATGCCTGGAGTTCCAAAATTAGCTGTAGAGACTGATTTATGAGTAAGGCATTGAATGGAGATATCCTGCAGAGGTGTATAGGGATATTCAGTTAAAGTGTTTAGGACCATAGGTAGATCCCATGGAGGTGCTGTGTTTCTGGCTGGAGGGCGCAAGTGTAATGCTGCCTTAAAGAACCTTGAGATGAGAGTGTGAGAAGACCATGGAGGTATTACAAAGGGCCGATAGGGCTGAGGATTGCACCTTCAAAGTGCTGAGTCTGAGAGCTCTGTCCAGACCTGCCTGTAGAAATTCCAGAACATGGAGGTGAGTAGGGTGTAGAGGTGTAGAGAATCAAAATCCTTTGCCGTTGCCCATTTTTTTAAAGGTTTCCCAAATTCTGTAACAGCAGGCTGATGTTGACTGTTTCCTTGCCTTCAGGAGTGTATTAAGCACTGCTTCGGATAGGCCCTGGTTAAGGAGGGATCCCCTTTCATTAGCTAGGCCCCCAGATTCCAGCTGGTTGGGTTTGGGCAGTGGCGTACATACCGGGTTCGCCCCGGTATGTACGCCACTGGGCCAGCCTCTTCTCCTGGGGGGGCCCGGCAGGCAGACGGGCACTGTCCCCTGTGTGAAAGTTAAAACACATACAAAGTAGGTGGAGTATCTTGGTTCGTTGTACAATGGCATATAAAATGTAATAAAAACGGTAAAGACAGAAAAAACACAATCTAGTGCAATATCGTAAAGTGCAACCATTGCACTTTACGATATTGCACTAGATTGTGTTTTTTTCTGTCTTTACCATTTTTATTACATTTTATATACCATTGTACAACGAATCAAGATACTCCACCTACTTTGTATGTATGTATGTGTTTTAACTTTCATGTGGATCGAGGGATTACCACATAGGTGTTTGTGAGTAATTTGGTGTAAGTTGAAATCACCCGCTGTAACTCCCTCGCGCACGCACTGATACCGGAGCCGGAAGATGACGTCATCTTCCGGCGCCGGCATCCCTACGCGGCGCGCAATGGGAGCTGAAGAGGAAGCACACAGGGGACAGTGCTCCCTCGCGTGCCCGGCCGCCCAGGAGCCCAGCAGCACCATTGGACCTCAGGGAATCCCCTCAGCTCTCCAAAAGGTAAGGAGGCTGGGGTGAATCAATTTAAAAAAAAAGGTGTGTGTGTCTGCTAGTGAGTGTCAGTGAGTGTGTCTGTTATTGGGTGTGTGTCTGCTCGTGTGTGTTAGTGTTAGTGTGTTACTGTGTGTGTCTGTTACTGAGTGTGTTTAATGTCTGTTAGTAAGTGTGTGTTTGTCAGTGAAAGTGTATGTTTTGTAAGTGAGTGTGTATGTCTGTCGCTGAGTGTGTCTCTGTCAGTAAATGTGTGTATCTGTTAGCTAGTGTGTATGTGTCTGTTCGTGAGAGTGTGTGTGTGTCTTCAGCATTTACCTTTCTCCAGCTCCCTTGGCGCTGGGGATCCCTCCGTCTCTCAGTTCCGAATGCACATGCGCGGCAAGAGGCGCGCGCACATTTAAACCGCCGTCGTTCAGTGTCTTCTCACTGTGATTTTCACAGTCAGAATCGCGGAAGCTCCTCTAGCGGCTGTCAATGAGACAGCCACCAGAGGCTGGATTAACCCTCAGTGAAACATAGCCGTTTCTCTGAAACTGCTATGTTTTCAGCTGCAGGGTTAAAACTAGAGGGACCTGGCACCCAGACCACTTCACTGAGCTGGTGTAATCTGTGTGTCTATAGTGGTCCTTTAAGTGTGTGTGCATACCGGGGTCGCAACCCTGCAACCCCTGCGACCAGGTGCCCGCCGCCATGTGTTGGGGCCCCGACCGGCATAGAATAAGCGCGGGGGGGCCCACGGATCAATTTTCGCACCGGGGCCCCATGCGTCATGTGTACGCCACTGGGTTTGGATGAGTTGCTGAACCCTGGATGAGAAGATCCGGGATATTGGAAGTAACCAAGGATGGATCACAGACATTCTCAGGAGAAGGGAATACCAATATCTCCTTGACCATATCAGGATAATGGCTATCACTTTCTTTCTTGATTTTTCTCAGTACCCAAGGAATCAGAGGCAGGGCAGGGAACACATACCCCAGGATGAAGTTCCGAGGATGGGAAAGGGCATCTTGACCCAAAGCTAGAGGGCCATTGGAGGGGGAAAAGTAGCTTGTCACCTGAGCATTCCTTCTGTTGGCAATTAGGTCTACCTGGGATATGCCCCACCTCTTCGCCAGAGCCTGAAACACACAGGGGCTTAAGCTGAAAGGAAGGCCTCTGAATTGGAAATGCTGTCCTAATATGTGAAATCGGAGTGATGGAGAGGGTAGATGGGAACTTAGTAATATGCATCCCTCAGGTCTATAGACGTTAGCCAATCCCCTCTGTTGATGTTGGGAATAATAGTGGATATGAATTCCATCTTGAATGATGGGCGTTTCAGAAATACGTTGGTGTTTTTCAGATCTGTAATCAGTCTCCATTTCCTATTGGATTTTGGGACCAAGAACACTGTCGAATAGAGGCCTTTGTTTCTTTCTGAAAGAGGTACCTCTTCTATGACACCTTGGAGAAGTAGTTTTTTGACACTTGCTATCAAGACCTTCCCTTTTTTCTCCCAAGGGTTTTCTTGACCTTATGAAGGGGTTGATTGGAGGAAAGGAGTCAAATTCAATTCTGTAGCTTTGATCTAGGATGGACATGACCCATGAGTCTGAAATATTCGTGGCCC